CTCTCTCTCTCTCTCTCTCTCTCTCTCTCTCTCTCTCTCTCTCTCTCTCTCTCTCTCTCTCTCTCTCTCTCTCTCTCTCTCTCTCCACCCCACTAAAAAGGAGGATTGGATGCTGGAATTTGGACGTGTTTGTCGAGAGGATGCAGAAATCGGGATTGATCTGCTTTTCTGCATCTCTGCCTGAAACATATCCAGATTCAGGCGCATAATCCAACCCTCTTCCCTGTTGGGATCATTCTCTGTTTTGCAGCCAGATGACAGGCCTTTCAGCTACGGCCAACTGTCGGGGCAAATCCAGAAGAACGCCGTACGGGCAAGGCGGGAGACAGCAACACGTGGAGGGCGGGAAAGACGAAGGCGCGGAAACGTGAACGGGCAATCGTATTCCCTCGAACACAGCGCACCCTTTTTTTTTTTTTTTTTTTTTTTTAATCAATTCTTCATTAATAGTCCACTGAATACGAGGCCGGGGACCTCACAATTCAACCCGGAGTTATCCCGGCAGCATCAGTCGGTTTCGCTTATGGCCCTAAGGCTGCGGTGTCACCAAGGGAACCGAAAAAAGAAAGGACAATATTACAACCACTACCTCAGTAGCACCCAGAGTTAACCAAAGCCTAAGACTCGACTTTATTCCTTCATAAGCCAAGACGGGAATTCAAGAGCACCAGAAGGTCTAAAAGCGACCATTCGTGCCCCTATAGCCCAGGTTTTGGAGAACCAGCACATTGCTTTAAATCCTTGCCTATACTTCGTCTTCCTGCTCCAGTCTGCAACAATTGTGTGTCTTATATCTCTCTTCACTTTTTCAATGATGTCCTTTTGTGAAAGATGGCAGTCCCGAAAAACCTGGTCGTTTCGATCCCTCCACAGTGCTTCAAAAATGATCCCCCTGATAACCTGCGCCACATAACCCCAGCCCAGGTTAGGGCTGATATGAGGTGGGAGCAGACCCGATAGGATCCACTTTTCATCCCATGGGAAAATGTCCTTAGTGATTTCTTTCCAATGCTGCTCCCACCATCTCCAAACTCTGCGCGAAAGTGGACACGAGAACCAGAGGTGATTCGTTGACTCCCACGCCCAGTTACACCGTGCACATGTAATACTGATATCCATGCCTTTGGCATTCAGCCACACCACTGAGGCTGTAACCAACAGAGATTGCAACAGCAAAATACTAGCTTGTTTCTGAGACGGCAAACTCTTAAGCTGATGCCAGTGTGCGCACAGGTCTTTCTCCACTATTGTACCCAATTATTGTTCTTCCCGTCTTCGTATCACGATGTCCACAGGCTTGATTTTCTGCTGCTGCAGTGCGACCCCTCTTCTGGACGAGTAGTCCTTTAAACTAATCATTTTCTGAGTTCCAACTTCCAACCAGCCTATGAGTCCAGGATGAAACGATATTTCCGCCACAGTCCTACCCCCAGCCAAAAGTTTGGCTTGCGAGTTCGGTACTCCTGTTGTCACTTCCATGTTAGCCAGTGGCGGACCTCTGCTCCCTTCCTTACGCAAACTTGTTTCTTCCACAATAACTTGGCCCAATCCTTTTGTCGAGCTCACCCACTTTGCCCCATTGAAGCAGAGCATTCTTGTATAAGGGGTCTGAACTGAGGCTGTCCATTCTTCTACCTTACATCCATCGTCCTTCGTCTCCTCAATCACTTTCCAGTAAGCGGGAGTGTTACCATTGTTACAAGACTTGAGCCAAATATTGTCGTTTCGATGGGACCTCAAAATATTAGTCCAGGCTATTGGTACTGCGTTCTGAATATCAGCTAAACGTTCCTCCACTAATCTCAAGCATCGTAATTGAGTTCTCACCGACAGCTCAGAACGCCAGTCTCATAGTTCCCTATCCCACAAATCCCCCATTCTGACCACACCTCGTTCTATCTAAGCTTTACCAAAATTTCCAAGACTATCATTGGCTGAAAAGGGAGTTCCATCAGGACTACATTCTAGAGGGTTCTCAAAGATTGGCTGCATCAGGACTTCCTCCCACGAGGACGGCTGAACACGATAGGTAGGTAAGACCTTAGACCACGCATACATGATTCCTCTCCAAAAGCACGATTTTGACCTTTTACCGCCACAAGACTGTATATATAAACAGCTTCATACATCAGATGGATTTTTCAGATTCCACTCCTCAGATAGGATATACTCTGCCAGCCAGATCCAGGCATGTTTGTTTTCTGCCAAAATTGCTTTAATAGGTCATTTGGCTAGTAGAGCAACATTCTGACGCTTGGGATCCGGAATACCAAACCCACCTTGTTCCCTGGGGAATGTGATACAGTCCCATGCTACTTTAGAAAGAAAACCTTCTCCCTTGTCCGCCTCTGGTTTCCATAGGAATCTTGCAGCAGCCTTTTTAATCTGTTTGTATGCCTGTGAACCAAGTAAGTGTAGTTGTAGTGGGTACCATAGTAAGGAAAAGGCTGAAGCCGAAATCACTGTAGCCCGACCCAACAGAGATAAGTGTCTTGTGCAGTCCCATTTAAAAATTCTCTGACATACCTTTTCTTCCAGCAACTGATCTTGGAGTGCCGAATTGTCTGATAGAGATATCTGAATTCCCAGATATCGGTCTGAGGCTTCAGTTTCTATTCTTCTCATGCCCCAGTCCACTTGGATTTGGAATTGAGCAGGCAAAAGGTATACAGACTTATTCAAATTTATAGAGGCCTCGGATAAACTAGCATACTCATCTAACATTTTCCGTACCGCACACAGGGTTCGTCTTTCATTAAGGCACGCTATCGTTAGGTCATCCGCCAGTTCACCCCCTTTCCACTGGTATTCATTGTGCAGATCCAAGCCTGTGATTGAATTATTTTTTCTAATGTTATCCAACAATATGTCAAGGTGTAGCACAAAGAGGAGGGGAGCCAGAGGGCACCCTTGTCGTAAGGAGCGAGACAAGTTAAACTCTTCCGACAATTGGTTGTTGACTGAGACCATTGCAGTTGAGGTAGAATACATAACTGATATCCATCTGCAAAAGTTTGGCCCGAATCCCATATGTCTTAGTGTGGTTCCTACAAAAGCCCAACCGACTTTGTCATAGGCTTTTTCCATATCGATATCTGTATTGCGGGAGACAAGCAAGTAGTCCTTCTGACCCAGACCAGTGCAACCGGGGAAGTCGCAATCCCCTGTACGGTTTTGAGCGCAAATGACTGCCTGACGGAGTCATTCATCACTCGGAAGGTCAAATCTCTAATTCAGGATGGCCTACCGATACGGCTGATTCCAAATTTGAATGTAGGAATACACACTGTTGAGAAGAACAATGAGCCCTGCGCCCGTCTCTATATCGCCTGCATGGAGGGCAAAATCGAAGATGCACAGTTTCAAGAAATGGAGCGGAAAGGGTTTACGTGGACCCCACTGATTCATTTGTCATCACCAACAAATGAAAGTCTGAAACAGTTGAAAATTACAGATAATATCCACGCGACTGTACTTGCAGACTGGTTGCTTGTGGCTCCACAGAAGGAAGTTCTCTTGGGGTCCTCGTTTCTGAGTTACTTGCGCCTCCCGTGGGAAACAGTTAATATAAAAAGTAAGGGAAGCGTAGGTAAGGACCCCAAGATGACTATTCATTCCTCACAGAAATCAAAGCAATTGCGTCATCCGAACCCGAGCCGGATCCAACACCATGCCGGTGCCTCAGGGGTAAATGCCCCGAAGCCACATGATTAAAAGCACTACTTGGAATGTGTGTGGACTCTGCGATACAGGAAGAAGACGGAAAAGAGATCGACTGAAGACATGAATGCATAAAGAACAGACACAAATTATGTGCATCCAAGAATCTAAACTTAACGAGGAACGAATTGATGGAATCAGGAATTGGTGGTCTGGGCCACAGTACTGGTCACCGGCACGTGGAACAAGGGGTGGGGTTGGGATCCTATTTCACAAGGACCTGGACGTCAATATCACAGATTGGATGGCGGACCTGTGGGGCCGCTGGGTCTGGGTACAGTTCGAAATTCTAAAAGAAGTTTGGACTGTTATGTCAGTATACGTTCCTGCTATTTATAACGATAGGCTTAAATTTCTCTCAGAGCTACCTGCTATCCTCCCAGATAGTCCTAACCTACTCATTGCAACTGACTGGAATATAGTTATGAACCCCGGCCTCGACTCGCCGACTGCAGAGCCGGTACGAGCGGATGGTCGCTTACTACTAGCACTTATGGAAGCTCAACAACTAACAGATGTCTACCGTATTATGCATCCAGACACAAAAGAATACACTTGGTATGGTTCCCAATCCCCCCCAGTAAGAAGGAGGTTTGACTTCTTCCTTACTAGGGGGACACTTTGGGACAGATGCATGAAGGTTGAATTGGGTTTTTCTTCAGTATCGGACCACTGCCCAGTTACTGCAGAATTTGATGTTGGGGATCCCTCCAGCGCTGCTAAAACTTTGTTTCGTCTTAACACATAACATTTGAAAGACAACAACATGCTTAACTGGGCAAAAAAACACTGGGTCAAGTGGCAGAAGGCACGGGGTCTGTTCTCAGATACGGAATCCTGGTTTGATACAGGGATGAACACAATGAAGAATTATTTTGAGGCGTTTTCCAGGATTAAGGCTATAGAAGGCAACGTAATTGAACATAAATGGAAAAACAGGGTCAAGGAAGCAGAAAATAACTTTGGGAGACATCCGGTTTCCGATGTCTACTGGACAGTAGTTAGGAAGAAAGCTCTTACCGAATAATAGCCCAACAGGAGAAATGGAGAGATTGGCTTCACCAAAAAGGAATTATTGCTAATGATAGAATGAATAAGGAAATGTTCCGGAGGTTATTGCTGCAGAGAACGAAACCACTGATCAGGGAATTAGCTCATCCGTTCACAAGCTCTTCCCACAAGGTCTGACCCGAAGGGGATGTCTGAGTATGCACAACTATACTTTTAGGACATCTTGACTACAAGAAGACCCTCAGACTCGTTCTCTACAGACCTAAGAGAAACCTTTAACTTTTGGGATGTCTCAATGGTACGTCTCCCCCTAGTAGGAAGACTGAACCTGGATCGACCCTTCACGGTAGAAGAAATTAAACAAGCAGCAGAACAAATGGCACACGGCAAGTGCCCTGGTTCGGATGGATTGCCGGTGGAAGCCTTCATTGTCCTATGCGAGTCTCTAGGTCCAGTGCTTGTTGAAATTTACAATGGGGTATTAACAAGTGGTACACTTTTTTTTTTTTTTTTTTTTTTTTTTTTTTTCTCCAAGCTGCTGGAAACCGGGTCCAGCGTCCCCTCCTATTCAGCTTTCCAAAAAAGTAAACATGAAGCTCAGGAAAAGGTGCTAACTGTAAAAGCCTAGCTTTTAATCTGTTGCTGTACTCATTCCTTTCTCTGAAGAAATGCTGAAGATTATTTGTTACTCTCTGTCTCTTGAGTGCATCCTGACCATG